TGGTCACGTTGGTAATTAGCCACCCTCGTATTACGGTCTTTAGCGCGAGCAGAACACTGAATCAGGGTGCGACTAAGCTAGTTACGAAGTGGCAAAATGTCGCTCACGAGCTTGAACGCAGGCTCTTCATCAGGGTTGTGCTCGTGCCCGATGAAGACGAGAAGGGAAGCAAAACAGTGAAGGCCACCTTCAATTCCTTGTTCCTCAGTTTGAAAGCTGAGTTACTTCCCTTGATGGAAGTCAGTTTCCATGAACTCGGGTTGCGGGAGGAGGACTGCGCCGAGATGAGTTGGATCAAGAGCGTACTGTACTTTTCAGGCTACTTGTCAAGGGGGAGAATGAGAGCGCCCTCACGGAGAGGGGAGTTGTCGACCCTTTCTTCGCGCCGTTCAAGGCGAAGTCGGATTTCGTCAGGGAGCCGATCTCTGAACAAGGGTGGGAGAAGATGTGGAAGTGGTTTTCCGAGGAAAATGAGAGATTTTGTAATATTTGTAATTTTTTGATGCATTTATTAGATTACGTAATAAATTTTGTGAAGATGGTGATGAATTTGTGCAGTGAGTAACGCGTGGAGACCCACCTTCACTCGTCTCTCCTCTCCTCCGGTTTTGTAATTTTTTTTTTGTTCGTGTATATTTCTATCTCTTTCTATAGATTAGAAGGCCAGTAGTCTTTGGGCTAGTTGCAAAGGGAGAGAAATGGGTATGAAAAGTAATTGAAATGTTGAAGAGTGAACCAGAGCTCACCATGACTCTCAGTGGCTGCTGTACTCTAAAGCATGTTAACAGGAGTCATGTTCGAACTCTCAATGGCTAGTTTGTATTATGATTTGTGCTTAGTTTAAGCTTGGATGTAACTTGTTCAGAAATTGAATATTGATGAGTTCAGACTAGTAGATATTTGCAAACCAAGTGACACTTGATGGTTTAACAAGCAAACATTAAGATAAACACTCGATTTATAATAAAACTAGTTGCGCATTCTGGGAACAAGCAAACATTAGGAAAAAACATCATTGAATTCTTTCACCACAATTATAACCCGCTAGCTCACTGTTGTAAAGCCATATACATCTCATAAACATCAAACAGATGGTGAAATTTTTAGCGTTCAAAGTTTCCCCAAAGTACCAAGAGAAGAGCCAAGATACCCAGAAAACTAATGCAGATTCCCAAATTCCTTGAAATATGGAGTAAAAAGAATACAGGCACAGATTAAGACTCTCTTCATTTTCCAACTAATGTCACAATTAAATAACAACACATTAAACACATCATTCAAATGATAACACATTGTTCAAATGACAACACATTAAACACATCGTTCAAATAACATTAAACCCTGTCCACCTCCATCCCCCTCAGACTCTCCAAGCTGCACAGCCTCAGTATCCCCTCCACAGGCTTCATCTCCTTTGTCACCTTGACAAGACCAACCACAGGCTTCTCCCTAGCGATGGACATGTAGTCTCCTGGACTTGGGTCGATGTAGCCAGCTCTTCAGCAGCAGAGTTTCCATTCTGCACCAATAACACCATTTAGTTTCAACAGCTTACAAAAAAAAGACTGAAAAAGTTAATTTGACGCATTGTCAAATGTTGGGGTGCAATATATTGAACATGAAAGCTTACAAAATGAGCAATATTAAATAGCAGTTAATTAGTCTATCAAGACCACCCTTCTGAACTATAGCAGTTTTGTTATCATCACTTCCTGCCAGGTACAAATAAAAAATGGTTAACACATAAATACACCTATCAATTTATTTGTAGTTCAATATCAAAATGAGAAGTTGTTAAGACCTTAGATAACAAAGAACAACAAGCTCGAGCCACAGCCTTGTTGTTATATTCGCCACGGCCATCTATAAATTGGAAAATTGCATCTATTCCGCCATTTTCAGATATTGATCGGCAAATTTCATCATGTAGGAAAAAAGAGAAAACACAAGAAAAAATATAGGAGTTTCAATATAGCAAAGTAAACGAAAACGACTAGGAAAATATATTTAGAAAAACACATCCTAGATCATACAGTTACACTACACATAATAGATAAACTACAGCCAAATCACAATATGAGAAATTCTAAGTTGTTAAAAGGAAAATCAAATTTCCACTCAAAAGTCTAGTTGTATGTTTTGGATGTTAATATTCGCCCTAAAAGACACCCATTAAATTAAACACATAAAAATGAAAACCCAAAACAAAAACTCACGGCGGAGGGGCTGGAGTTAGGGCTGGAGTTGGGAGATCTCACGGAGGAGGAGTTGGCTCGCGGAGGAGGAGGGCTGAAGGCGGAGGAGGAGGTCGACGAAGAGATCACGGAGGAGGAGGGATGAACTCGGATGATGATAGTCGACGGCGAGATCGACCGCGAGAGGGAGGAGGGGGTCGACGGCGAGAGGGAAGAGGGAGGGTTTCGGAGGGGGATTCCTCGATTTGGGGATTCTTCAATCTGAGAGAGCTGGGTTGTTGGGTTAGGTGACGAGACGGAGGGGTTTTATTACCCATCGCTGGCAATTTTTCAAAAAAGCCCAAATCTGCGTCAATGCGTACGCATCTATGCGTATGAGAAATTCTCTGTATATATATATATATATATGAGGAATATGGGTATACTTGGGCCAAGGATCCTTGGTAGTGATGTGGACACATCTTGTCCATACATCACACCTTGTAGTTGGTGAGGCTCCATCTTCTAGGTGTGATGTATGGACAAGATGTGTCCACATCACTACCAAGGATCCTTGGATTGTCGGAGATGATCCCAATTTTCCATATATATTATATATATATATAGTATTATTATCAGTATCATATACTAATAAATATATAATAGTATATATAGTGAGTGGATAAAAACTTTGTGGAACAAAACTTGCATATCCACTTAAGTTGACGATAAGCTCATCTCTCTCTCTTCTATATATTTTTACAACAAAATCACTTCAAATAGGAATCACATTCACCAGGGTTGGAGAGTGCATGAGAATAAGTCCTCAACTATCAAGCAAAAACTTGTACTTGGTCCGAGTTTCATATGTGTTGTGTGCTGGGGGGGGGGTTGAGTTAATGGCGCATAGGTGAAATGAGCTCTTTTCAACCTAACTTTTATCCATTGGTTTTTAACTTTGAGATTGATACTAATGTGTTGGAATACACATCAAGGCACGCACGCAATCTGGAATCACATTATTAAGTGTATCACAAAACCAAAGGATGAAAAGTTAGGGTGGAAAAAAAAAAAATCTTCCCATTCATTTATAGATTAGTAGCTCAAGTCTCTCCTCATACAACACATTTTACATTGTGTTGTTTTCATATGCTTCTTTGTTTCTTTCTTTTACTAATTTTCCGTTCTAAGCTATTTGCTTATTTTATTCATGTGTAGTTCTTTTGTGCGAAGACAAGGAATAATGATTTGGCACCATTTTCTTTAATACTCAGGTTCTTTGACTTGAAAATTCTGGGCCCTTTCTT